TATGTTAAATAATTACAACTTATATTTTTATTATTATGTAATATTTAATTATAAAAAACTTTTATATATTAAATTCGAGTCAATTACACATTTAAATAAGACTTTAGATAAAAGATTTATTTCAAATTTCAATTCATTTTAAATAATTATTCAATGGATATACATAAAACCAAAAGTTGTCCAATTTTTAAGACCGAATATTTTTTAAAAAAATTATGGTTAAAACCAATTCGCTAAACACACTAAAATGACTTAAACTCAAATATATGTTTGTGATAATTAAGACTCAAAAAGAGTCTTTTGAATTTTGTTGAATTTTTCATGTTGATCTTTGCGACTTGTTTAACAATAAAGAAAAATCGTTCAACACAATTAAATTTTTTGCAAAAGGTAAATATAAAACACAATACGTTATGTTGAAACTGAAAATAAGCTTTATTGAACGGATAAAACGAAGATAAATGGAGTTTGTCGAAGTAGTATATAAATTATGCGGATTTAGGGTGGACAACATTTTAACTATATTTTCTAATAATTTAACTAAAATCGCGAGGACGCGTTTTCAAATCGTTTTCAAATTTTCCCAAAATTTAGAAAACTTTTATTTTAAAAAATAAAATTGAAAACGTAACTATTTATTTTTCTAAAAAGTTTCATTTGAAATTTCATTTTTTATTTTCCATAAAATGAACACTGATAAAGAACAATACAGACTTAAGAATTTCTATAATTTTACTAATACTTATTCTGAAGATGATATTTTAAACTGTTTTACTATTAAAGCTGGAACTATTAAAGCTGCTTCTACTAAAATAAATAATAAAGAATGCAGAAAAGAATTAATTGCTATGGGTATTGAAACAAGAGATTTATATTTACATTACAAAGCAAAATTGGAAGCTCAATTAAAAAGAATGAAAGATAACAAGAAAAGTACTATTAAATTAGAACAACCATTTTTATCAAAAGTTTTCAATAAATTAAACAAAACCGATAAACAAACTTTTGGTTTAATTAATAAAAAAGCAACATTAATCAAAGATTTAGATGAAGAAAAAATTCAAAAAGAACTTGACAAAAAGAATTTAGAATGGAGTTTAAATAATATTTCTTTTGATGATATTGAAGATAATGATGATTTAATGAGAGAAGATATGTATAAAAAATTTGAAGAAGAATTAAGAATTAACGCTGAAAGGAAGAATTATTTTAAAGAATTGAAAGAAAAAGAACAATATGAAAACAATATGGAAGAATATAAAGATATGATTGAAGAAATTGAAGATCACACTAAAATTAATACTAAAGTAACTTATGATAGAGTTAATAAAATAATTAAAGCAGATTTTAGATGTGGTTTTAGAGAAAAATTAAAAAGAATTCAATTAGTGAGAGAGTATTTTATCGATTTAATTAAATCAGTTCCTTCTACCACTGAAATAGTTTATAAATATTTACTTAGTCAAGATGGATGGAAAACTTATATGTTAAATACCAAAGACGCCATTGATGAATTTCTTAATTCTGTTTCTGAAGAATCCATGTGTTTTATCAATAAACAAGAAGTAAATGATTCTATAGATTCTACTTTTTATGTTCAACAAACTATTCCAGAACCATTATTCATATTAGAATTAAAAATATCTCCATATCATTATACTGAAGATCTTATTCATCAATACAAAACTACTGGCGGAAGCTTTTTCCCTTATCATTATAAACCAGAATTTGAAATATTTGGTCAATATCTTGCTAAAGCACAAATATTCAGTTCATTGATTGATGAAAATGGAAAGGTTAGATCAGAATTTGATTTAAATTGTTTCACTTATGCTTTAAAACAAGCTAATGTCGATGATGAAACTTTAGAATTAGTATTAATTCATTGTAGAGGTCGTTATCAAAAAGCTAAAATGTTAGATGAATTATGTAAATCGGCTCATATTCGAATTAGAATTGATAGAGAATGTACTGACAATAATAAAAAACATGATAAAAACCGTAAAATAGATTATTATGGTTGTGAACTTAAAGATGCCAAATATAATTTAGAAATGTTTTTATATAGAGATTCTTTAATGAAAGGCGATCATTATATTTTGAATATTGATATTCCAATTACTCCATTTTATCTCAAAAATAGAGAAGAAATTAATAATTGGACTATTACTCATAATAAAAGTATAAAATCAATGTTTAATAAACAACGTTATAATAAAAATAAACAATGTTATGAAGTTAAACCAGGTGCTAAAACTACTATCAAATTATCAGATCTTATTTTATATATTAGAGATCATAATGGATTTGAACCTTATTCTCTTTCTGATGTTTTACATTTGAAATCTGATTTATCTGAATATGTATTACAATCATTAAATACACTTGAATATCTTCCTTTCGAAACAAGAAAAATTGAAATCAAAGAAAATAAACGAAAAGAAGTAGATCATTCTTATTGGTATGCTGATTTTGAAGCTTCAACACAAGGATATCATAATCCATATTGTGTTTGTTATTCTAAAAGAGGTGAAGATAAAATTTATAATAAATATGGAAAAGATTGTGCTTATGATTTCTTATGTGATTTACCTCATAATGCTGTTTGTTATTTTCATAATCTTAAATATGATGGTTCATTCCTTGCTAAATATGGTGTTAATAGATGTATTAAGAAGGGTGGTAAAATTATGCAAATGACTCTTAAATTTAAAGGTAAACAATTAACTTTCAAAGATAGTTTAGCATTGATTACAGCTCCATTATCAGCTTTTCCTAAGATGTTTGGTTTATCTAATATTCAGAAAGAAATTTATCCATATAACTATTATAGTAAAGATAATATTATTCACAATATTGGGAATATTTTAGAAGCTGATTTATATGAAACTAAACAATGGAATAAAGATCAATTTGATTTATTTATCAATAATATTGATTCAATTGAAGATTGTCGAATTGATGATTTTCATTTCAACATGGAGCTTTATTGTAAGTTTTATTGTAATCAAGATGTAAGAATCTTAAAACAAGGTCATTCCAAATTTAGAGATATGTGTTTAGAATATTTAAATATTGATATTGATAAAGTAATTTCAGCAGCTTCTTTAGCTAATACTTACTTTAAGCATAACGTATATTCAAAAATAAATAATTTAAAAGAATATGGAGGAAAAGTTAGAGAATTTATTCAAGGAGCTATTTATGGAGGTAGATGTATGACTAGAGATAATAAAAAGTGGTATGTAAATGATGAATTATATGATTATGATGCTTGTTCATTATATCCTTCAGCTATTAATAGATTAAAATTAGCAACTGGTTCTCCAATAGTTATTTCTGAAAATATGTTAAATAATGATTATTTACTTAATCATCTCATGGATGAACAACAATTAGAACCTACTGAAAGTAAATTCATTTCTGCTTTTCTTGTTGATATCGAAATTACTAAAGTAAATAAGAAATTACATTTCCCATTGATTGTTAAAAAGACTAAACAAGGTAATAAAAACGTTAATGAATTATGTTCTATGAGAGTTGATAATATATTATTAGAAGATCTTATTAAATTCCAACAGATTGAATATAAAATAATTAGAGGTTATTATTGGACTGGTAATAAGTCTGATTTATTATCTAATGAGATGGCTAAATTGTATAATTTGAGAAGAGATTTTAAGAAACAAGGTAATCCAGTTCAGGAAGTATTTAAGTTAATTATGAATTCATCATATGGTAAAACTATTCAAAAACCCATTAAATCAGAATTAGTTTATAAACAAATTTCAGTTAAAAATAAAAAGAATGAAATTCAATATGATGCTGATAGATATTTAAAGAAGAATTCATTATTAGTTAAATCATTTTATGACGTAGCTGATAATATTAGATGTTTTGAAACTATTAAATCTTTTGATGATTTCTTTGTTCCGAATCTGATTGGTGTTCAAACTTTAACAATGAGTAAGAGAATTATGAATGAAGTTATGTGTTTAGCAGAAGATCTCAATATTCCAATTTATTATCAAGATACTGATTCTATGCATATTTTAAAATCAAGAATTAACGAATTAGAAAATGAATATTTTAAGAAATATAATAGAGTTCTTAGAGGATCTGATATGGGTCAATTCCATCCAGATTTTGATGAATTATCTGGAGATGTTACTAGTATTGAATCATACTTCTTGGGTAAAAAAGCTTATTGTGATAAATTAACTAATGAAAATAATGAAATAGAACATCATCTTAGATTAAAAGGTATACCTAATAATTTATTAAATTGTCAATATGAAGATCCGTTAGAATTATATAAGAAACTATATGATGGAGAATCGTTTAATTTTAATCTTTTACAACTTAGACCATCATTTGAATTTACTAAAGATTTTAAAATTAAATCAAGATCTCAATTCTGTAGAAATATTAAATTTAATAGTGAATTGGGTTCATTTTAAAAAAATATAAATGTCAAAGGAACAAGAATTATCTAAATTTTATAATACTTATAAAAATAAAATAGAATATGCATATAATAATAGAGATAAATTATATGGGATTAATCCTAATACTAACTCAAAGCACAATTTAAAAAATTTTTATTCTGGTATTTATAATTATTTTAATATTAGTAATAATAGAACACAAAAATTATTAGATGATATATATGATATATATACTACTAATAAACGAAGTATAAATGCAAGTATATCTAAAATGCTAGAAGTTACTGGTTCACATGAATTTAAAAAAGATGCAAATACACCTAAACCAGAAGTTAAAGAAATTAAACAAACACCAGAAATTCAATTAAATGCTGAATTAAGACCTCAGCCAACAGCCTATGGCGTGAGTTTCTCGTCTATTCAACCACACGGTACAACCACTACTATAGCTACTTATCCACCAACTAATTATTTTAAGAAAGATAGAACAATTAAACAATTATTTAATGTAGATATGAATCAATATGTTCCATCATTAGCTAAAAATATATATACTTATTTCAATAACAAAGATATAATTTATGCTAATAATTTTAAACCATCTCCACCTAAATATTCATTTTATAATAAAAATTTTGCTTATAAATTTGTTGCAATACCAAATACTTATATGTTTGATATATTGTATTTCTCTGATAAAGATAAGAGAGTAACTCAACAAAATATGATAAACCATCTGTAAAAATAAATTTTGATCACAGAGTTCATAAAAATAATTCAT